ATTTGATTTTCTTTCATTGCCCATGATAATCTAATCCTTAAAGTAGTTAAAATATTCATCTCCATAGTGAAGACTTTGACAAAGTCGAGATTACCTGGAAAGAAACAATGATTTGGACTTCGTAAAACCTTGACAGAGTTCCTTCGGCAAATAACAAGTATTTCTTAGGTTCTTGCTGAAGACGTTAGGTGGCTGTGATCACATCTACAGATGAAAAGGACTTTTTAGATTATAAAATAATAGCATAATCAGCATCACTGCTTTATTTTTTTTCTGACTTTAATTTTATTCTTTCTTCCTTTTTTCATAATGGTAGGGAGCAGGTTTTATTTTCTTCTCCTCCTGGGAATATACTTGCATGCTGGTTTTTGTTGTTACGCAAATCATTATTTGTTACATTCTGCATGTTGGGCGAAGATTACAGATTGACCATTTTCCTAAAAGGGGAAGATAAAAGAACTTGAGTCATAGTAAATGTACAAAAATGTTTGAATTAGAATTGGAAATATTATCTTTCTCATCTTTGTTTTTAAAAATTAAGTATATTGTCTCACAGTTGATTGTCCGGAGAGCCCAGATTAATGTAATTGTATGCCGTCTGTCATCCAAATCTATTAGCCTCAGAGTCTTTTTGGTGGTTGAATGGGAGAAAGGAAGGGTGAGTGAAATTGTATGAAAGCTTGTATTAATTAAGATACATAACCTACTGGTAGAAATTCATGTTCAGACATTACAAGGTAATTAGTCAACTCATCAAAATATCACTGCAGAAAATCTTCTGGTTCTTTGCAGTAGTTCTAATAAAGTTGTTCTGAGAAGCCCTGTGAAAGGATTGAATTCTAGAGTTTGAATAACTGCAATTTTCTTAACAAGTAGATTTAGGGCCTACTGAGAAAGCAGATCATCTGCTGTGACATTTTGCTGTGAGAGAAGTATTATTTAAAAATGTTTGCTACTAAGAAGTAAAAAGCTAACCTTTTCAAACAATAAGGCTTCTCTCTCACTTACCAACTTTACATTTCCCTGTATGGCCCCGGAAGATGACTGGTTAGCCAGAGACGGGTAAGATTCCTCAAGGGAGGAACAACCTAAGACAGGCACAGTCGCAGGGGGGCCATCAGGTGAGAATATGGGGATCAACAGAGGTGAGGCTCAGAACCTCACCCCCCCTGCTTTGAGAGAAATCTTCTGCATCCGTGGATGTCTTGCTGCCCTTGTCTAGCCTGGATTAATACTTAGTCCATAGGCACACACCTGATCATCTGATCATCTACATTTGCCTTCTTACAGCACTAAACTATGTTTTCTACCTTTATCTTGCATCTACCTACCACTTCAGCATTTTATTAAAAATAAAAATAATAATAATAATA